GCCAGCGTGGCGTACTGCGCTGCCGTCGGCGAGCCACCTGCGGCGTCGCCAAAATGAGTCGAGAGCTTTGCCAGCGTTGACGGCACGATCGTGGTACGGATCCGAGCTTGGACGGCGGCGACTTCACGGCTGGTGAGGAGACCGCGGTCGATAAGGATCTTGTGCCAGACGCGGCGGACGACGCCAAGGTAGACGGCGTGCATGACGTCGACGGGGGCAGAAGTCACGCTGCGCCAGTACGGCAGCTCGTATAGAACCGAGTATCGAGCGCCGGTGATGGCGGCGGCGTTGCGATGGCGAGCGTCGCTGCTGCCCTTGACCGCGAGCGCGTCCTGTCGATGCCGGTCCGGATCGCGTGGCGTAGTCTTGGCGCTGGTCGCAGCGAGCTCTTGAAACTCGCCCTTGTCGGTGTCGCAGTACGGGCAGGTTGCCTCGTTGACCGTGAGCGGGTTGAATCCGCAGACCTTTGTACGCGCTGGAGAGTCTCCGACGAACAGCACCAGCTTGGCGCGGAGGGTGGCTGTGGTGGCGATGGCGGTGGTGTCGGGCGATGCCGTGGACGGTGGAGGTGCAGGCAAGCCGATCTCGATGCCGTCGAGCAGGCACTGCAGCTCTGCGACGAGCGGCTCGAGGAACCGGGAGCACGTCGACCAAGACGGCTCAGATGGACCCGGGATGACGCCGGCAAGGTGCTGGTACTCCGGCTTGAAGCGGAGGGCCGACGGCAGGTTGAGGACCGACAGGACGACGGGTCCGCACGAGTAGGAAGCGGCCGTGTAGTTGAACGGCCGGAACCAGTCCGTCGAGAGCGAGACGAGGAGGTTGATGTCGCCCGGCTTGCCGCTGTTGAGGAAGGCTTGCTCTTGATGCCACATCTCGCCATCGTAGACGTCGGCCAGAGGCGGGGTGGCGTCGGCAAAGAGCGTAGACGGGGTCGGGCGTGCTCGCCAGCTTTCAAGCGCCTCGCGCACCTCGGGTCGTTGGACCAAGCCGCGCAGCCATGCCTCGAGCGGGTGGTAGAGGAACACCGGCCCGTCACGCTGCAGCGGCTCGTCGCAGCGGATGCAGCTTGCAGCAGGTGGCGGCGAGGCGGATGACGTCGGTGATGGCCAAGCCGTTGGTATGGGTGGCGAAAGGCTTGAGCACGCGGGCCGAGGGCACACCAGGTAGCGGACAAGGTGGTCACGGTCGAGGCCGAGGTGCCTGCGCAGCGTGGGGAAGCGGACCGGCCCTTTTGCAGTGCTGCCTGACGCTGGAAGCAGGACGTCGTTGGCAAACCGCAGCATGTCCTTGCATCCGGCGCGAGAGAGGCCGTGCTGCGAGTGCTGGCGGACAACGTGCCATTGTAAGGCCGTCATCCAGTCCGGCAGAGCATTGTCAGGCGCTGGCGGCGGATTCGAGGCACTGGCCATTGCGCCGGGAGCAAGGATGCGGGCAGGGTCAAGCCGGGACAGCGGCAAGCGCTCCGCGTCCTCCTCCGAGTCGGACACTGCCAGCCTAAAGCTCTGCTCCGGTGGCGGTGACGTCAATGGAGAGGGCGACGTTGTGGCGGGCGGGGTTGATGGCGACCGAGGTGGCGAGTAGGGCGGAAGCGAGCCTGCATCCGACCCGACCGGCGACCGAGGTGGTGACAAAGGCCGGAGAGATGTCGCACGAGAAGGCGACGGGGCAGGCGAAGCATTTGATGGCGGCGAAGGGGCCCTCGATTGTGCAACTGATGATGGCGGTGCTGAGGAGGGTTCTGCTGGCGCTGACGACAAGCGTAATGGTGAAGATGTGTCGCGCGGCCCATCCTGCACGTAGAGCGGGCTTCCTGCGATCGCTCGTGCCTGTTGTAGTTGCTGCAGTCGACAAAGAAGGAGGATGTCAGTATGATTGCAAAGCGCTTGAGCGTCCAGGGACCTGCTCTCACCTCTTGCTCAATGCGCTCAAAGTGTTCCTCATTCTCGTGGCGCAGCCGCGTCTTGCGCTGGACATGACGCCCATTGCACCGCCAACAGTAACACGGCTCGGTGCGACGTTTGGAACTCGACATGTTGGCCAGCTGAGGAGGAGCACCATGTGCAGAAGTGTGGCGAGTCGAGGTCGTCGCTGCCGTTAGTCGCGCGCCGTCACGAGCATCGCGTCGACGCCAGCCTCAGCCTCGCTCGATCCCGGGCCGGACACCCATCCGCCGACAGCGCAACGGGCGACACCTTGGATGCTGTTGTTCCCGCGCAACCGCGATACCTGGGACGAGCGAGTCGAGGTCGGGCCGACAACGACGACGGGAGCATACACGCTTGACCTACCTTGGCAGCGACGGTGGAGGAATCGGCGGCCTTCCTATGCGTTCTGGCGCGGGGAGGTTCTGTGGCGCAAAGAGACAGAGCGAGGACAAGGTCAGTATCGACCCGCACCGAGGAGAGCGACAGAAACAGGTCGACTCACGGGATCAAGTCGATCTTGTCCTCCGAGACCTATGCCGAACCCGCTAACCGCGCTCTCACTGATGGCCGTCGTGCCGCCGACTGCCGCTGCCTGTTGGACCGGGGTGCGCAACCACGCTGCTCAAAACGCAAGAGCCCTCTGAGCATTAGGACCTGTAAAACTTGCGCCTGAGATACCCGGCCCGACTAGACAAGCGACAGCCAACGACAGCGACGGCGGGAGCGGAAGCGGCGGCAGCGGGGGTGGCGGTCGATCCGGTCGAATCGACGGAATCGACGGTTGCGGTGGCGGCAAGTCGATACTGGCGCGAGGCGAGCGCGCAGGACTGGATGCGAGCGGTCGAGGAGCGGTGGTGGCGCCGGGGTTCGAGCTGATGTGGACGAGCAGAGAGCAAAAGAGAGGCGGAGGAAGACGTCAGCGGTCTACCATTGAGCAGCGGACGTCATCCTGATGCTTACCTGTGTCTCGCCGAGCGTGGGCGGGTTGCAGGACAGCGCTGCTGCGGGCGACTAGCGCGACGTTGAGGTTGTCGAGGTGAAGGCGGTCGCGTTGGGGCCTACCTCGGCCAGCGTCGTCGAGGAAGAGGGCTACCCGCAAGCCAAAGTGGCAGGTGGTAGTTGGAGGGGGAGGGGGAGTCCATTAGGCGAAAGGCGTTGAGGCAGCAAGTCCGTACGAGTTGGTGGCGGTGGTGGCGATGGTGGTGGTGGTGGTAGTAGTTGGGAGGAGAGGGCGGGCAGGCAAGCCCACCCCTACCTCGCTGGCAGGCGGCAGGCGAGCGACGATAGAGTGAAAATTTCTGCAAAGGCACGGGCCAGGGCTGCTCAAGACGCGCGGCTGCCAGCAAGGCCGATCGCTCCTTCCCACCACCACCACCAGCTCGGACCGCCACGCCTCACCTTTCCGCCATCCCGCCTCGCCGCCGCCACCACCATCGAAGCCGCCGGCTAGGTCAAGCGCCGCGGTGTCAGCAGCAGCCCCGGCGCAGTGATGCCGCCGGGCTGAACGAGGACGTTTTTGGGACGCCTCCAGGCCACGCACCGCCCGCGGGTGACTTCAAGATCGACTTTGGACGACCACCTCGCTGCGCTTCAGGACGGCCGGACCCACGCCCACGGTGCCGGAAGGCTGCTCACGGATGGCTCGGTGGAATGGGTTAGAGCAGCATCAAGGTGAGTAGGGCCTGGGCAAGCTTGGCCTCGTGATGCCGACTCGCTGCCCACCCGTCGTGGCTTCTCTTCCGCCTGATGGCAGCCGCGCCGCCGTCGTCCTACTGGAGCGGTGGCGGGCTGACGGGAGCGGGCACCGGTTGCCCTGCACACCGGCCCACGTGACGGCGAGGGCTCTGGCCTCGTGATGCCAGAGCCTCAGGGCATCGGCGGCGTTGCGGTGCGAGGTGGCGCCTGGTAAAGAGACCAAGGCGTCGCCCTGCAACACCACCGCCGATTCGCCGCCGGTGCCCTCTCTCTCTGACCTCTTCCCATTCGGCCCTACAGGACGACGGCGTCAACGACGCGGCCAGGCTCAGGACGAGGGCCGATCAGGTGAGTGCTGCGGCTCGCCGCCCAGTGGTCCTCACCATCGCCATCGATCGTTACTGACCCCGCTCCTCCTCTCCTCTTGACGCACCCTCGCGCACCGCCACCACAGCCATTCAGCCGTCATCGTCGACCAGCTCAGTCCCATCTGCGATGCCCGGCGCCATGCTGCCCTTTCTCGGCCGACAAAGTGAGTGCTGCTCTGTCCGCGCCGCTCCTCCGTGCCGCTGTCTTTCCGCCTCCTGCTGACCACTGTCCTTCTCTGCCTTCTTGACCTGGCTTTGCCGCCACCGTCTGCAGCCGCCGCTCGCTCCGTCCCGCTTGCCGGCCTCGCTCCGCGCCGTCAATCGTCCAAATCCTCGGAGAGTTCGGAACCGCCTCTCCGGAGACTCCGACGATTGACGAGCGGAACCGTCAATGGCTTCGTTTCGCTGTCAGTGAGTCTTCCGCACGCTCGCTGGCTGCGGTATGCTGAGCTCGATACTGACGCTTCCGCCTTCGCTTTGCTGCTTTGCTCTCCCTCCCTTTGCTCTCGCTCGCCGCTTTCCGCACGCTGCTTTGCTCGCCGCCCCTCCGCTCCTCGACTGCCTTCCCCTTGGCCGACGGCCCGTCCAAAAGGTATAAAGGAAGGCCATCTGGCCAGATCGGCCCCCTCCTTTCCTTCCCCCATCACCAACTCGCCTCCCTCCTCTTCCCGGTAAGTCTGCCTCGTCTTGTCTCCTCCACCGCCTTGCTCCTCCACCGCCTTGCTTGCTTTGCTGACCTTGCCTCGCCTCTCTGCCTCCCCGGTCCCACTCTGCCTCTCCCCTCGCTCCGACTCCGTCCTCTTCAACATCGGACCGCCGGATCGCCTCGCCTGCGTATCGCCCCACGGACGCCATCGTCGACCACTTCAACTTGCACGTCGCCTCGACTCCCGCCACCTCGACTCCCGCCGCCTCGCCCGCCTATCGCCTCGCCCGCCTATCGACCCCGCTCGCAACAGCCGACATCTGCAGCAAGCTCGCCGCCTGTAGCTGTACTCCTGCAATCACAATGACGTCGAACCGACAAGCTCGATTCATCGATCAGTACGAGGACTACTCGGCCATCGACCTCGCGATCCGCTACAGCCAGATCGTCAATACGCTCAAGTCGGAGCAGCAGGACAATGTCGAGCTCAACGTGATCAGGTGGCTCATGTGGAGGAAGGACGCCGTCGCGGTCCCCCCCGAGCTCAAGTGCAAGGAGACGAGCGACAAGAACCAGCCTTGCAAGAAGCCGACCATCAAAGGGATGATCCAGTACGGCCAGGTCCACGGCGAGGTCATCTGGCTCAACGCGGTCATCCACCACTGCCTCCGCTGCCTCAAGAACCGCAACCGCTGTTTTCTGCTCTTCAAGGACGCGGCCAACCCCAACAACATAGCCACCGTCGACGCCGATGGCATCTCAAACGACGAGCTCGACGTCCCCAAGAGCGGCCTATCGTTGGCTGAGGAGCCGGACTTCGACGATCCAGCTCACTCGGAGCCGATCTTTGGCTGGTCGCTCGAGGAGGTCAAGGAGTACGTCCGCCGCCTTCGCAAGCGCATGGAGAAGCAGATCAAGGCTGCTCCCGGTGGCGCCGACCTGGACAACGACCTCAACACCGCGGCCGGCATCTCCGCCTTTGTCAAGGACAGGCGCGCCAAGCTCCGCCAGCTCTCCGACTGCGTCAAGGCCCTCACCGCGCAGACCAACGACCTCCTCGACGTGCTGTACAACCAGCGCAACGACAGCACCTCCCGCCTCACCGCCGAGATCATTGACAAGAAGCTCTACGAAGGCTTCGTCGAGGTCAGCAAGCAACAGAGCCTGGCGTCGGTGATCCGCCTCGACGACAACCCCACCAAGGCCGTCGTCCTCCTGACCGACTCGGCCGACCACGACCGCCACGTCAGGCGACTCATGAACAGGGGCGAGCGGCTTGCTTAGGCCTTGGGTCGAATCTACATGTGATCTCATCTTCTCTGCTTGTGTGAGTCTGTGCTTTTGGGTCGAGGCGATCAGCGAGCGGCGCAGCGGGCGAGGCGGCGGGAGGCGAGGTGGCGGGAGTCGAGGCGGCGCGTCGACGCTGGCAAGCGGACACCGTCAAGGCCATCGGTCCCGCCGGCGATGTCTCGTACCCTTTGGCCGACTGGACCACTACTCGACAAGCTCGCTGCGGCGGTATCTCGCTCGGACCTCGGTGCTTGGTGCAGGCCGGCCGCCACACTCAAGCTCGACCCGCGTCCAGGTAAGCTCTCCGTCCCGCCTCGCTGCTTGAGTCAATGCTCTCGCTCCTCACGGCCACCTCTGCCTCCACCTACTCTGCACACCCCCCTCGACTTGCCAGCCACAGGGTACATAAGGCAGGCCAGGCTGCTCGCTCTCCGCCCCCTCCTCTCCTCACCACCACCATCAACCCCAATCTGTCCGCTCCTGTGAGTTGTCTCTGTCGCTCTACTGTTTGCTCTCTGCCGCTGTCGAGTCGATGCTGACGAGCTCTTTACCGCCTTTGCTTCTCCCCTTGCCTCCTATCTACTGATCCGCCTCGATGCCACCTCGACGCCACCTCGACGCCACCTCGACGCCACCTCGACGCCACCTCGACGCCACCTCCTTGACGCCACTACCTCGACGCCATTACCTCGACACTACTGCGTCAACACCACTGCCTCGACGCCACTGCCTCGACGCCACCGCTCGCTGCCCCTTCGACACCCGCCTTACCATCTCGCCCGTCGCTCGCCGGTCACTCGCATGCAATCGCCACTACCGCCTCCAACGCTTTCCGTCCTCGCTTGCTACCGCTGGATTGTGCACCACCTCGTCCGCGCGCGCTCAACAGCTGTACTTGCAACGCCACAATGTCGAAAGAGATGAAGACATTTATCAAGTACTTTCTGGCGGTCTACAAAGGCTCTTCCGAGCTCGAGCTTGCCCAGTACCACCACAAGCTTCTGTGCAGGAGTGAGCGCAGCGAGAACGACAACGCAAGGCTGATCGCCATCGAGTGCCTCATGTGGAAGGGCGACACAGTCGTCGTCGACCAGCTCGCGTGCGTGCCGACCGCCGAAGCGGCCAAGACCTGCAAGAGGCCCACCATCGCCGGCTGCCTCGACTACGTGTGGGACAAGGGCAGCGTCGTCTGGACCAAGGCCGTCATCGTCGACTGCATGTGGTGCCACAAGCACCGCAAGCACTGCCACTACATCGTCGTGGACAAGGATCGCTCCCCATCCACCTGCATGATCGACTCGCACGGCTTCGCGGACCCTGCTTTTGCGTACGAGGTCGACAAGACAGGCCTTTCCGAGGACCCGGAGCCGGACTTCGACGACCCAGCCCACCTCGAGCCCATCTTCGGCTGGTCGCTCCAGGAAGTCAGGCAGTACGTCCGCCGCCTCCGCGAGCGCATGGAGGTGGACATCCATACTCGCATGACCATGTCCTGATCGCCTCGTCACACATGCGGCCGCGTAGGCCTTTGCACCGCTCCATTGATCACTAAATTTGATTGCCCTCTTTCCATTTGTCTGTGTGACTGTGCCTGAATCCTACTGCCGCCACCAGCGAGATGAGCGGCCTGGTGGCAGCGCCACGCCTGGCGGGCCAGCTGAAAATTTGTGGAGGCTGGCGGTGCCACGCTGGCAGCCCTGCGCCCCTAAGGAGCGCCCGCTTGCCCGCCTTTTTCCTTTCCTTCCCACCACCACCACCACCGCCGCCACCGCCCCGTTCTGTCAAGTCCCACGGCCGCCACCTCGATACCGCTGCCGGCTTGCCTCAAGTTCGTCCGCACCTCGCTCCTCGCCTCTTCGTCTTGGGCACTGTCAGCAACAGCAGCATCTCGTGTGAGTCGATTGCTGGTTCCGCTTCTCGACGCCACCTGACTCGACCTGCCGATTGACCCGCCGCCCTCCTTTTCTCGCTCCTCTGCTCTGCCACAGATCCGCCCGCCGCCCACATGACGCCAACGATGGCGCAACCACCGGCACCCGGTGCCAGTCGACCGCGTCCGCATCCATAGGGTGAGGCCTCGTCGCGGTCGATCTGCTTCTCTTGTTGGATCCGCTGACATCTAACTCTCCCTTTGCGCCTCGTCTTGCCCCTCACAGATCCCATTGCCGACGGCACCGACGGCGGAACGGCGAGGCGGCGGCGTGGAACAAGGAAAAGAGGAGTGTAGGGGATCGCACGCCGCCGCAGCAAGACCGCCACCCGCTCGCCGTCGAGGCCCATCGCTGGTCCTCAAGGTTGGTCGCTTGCGCTGCCTGCTGTCCGCTCGCCGTTGCCGTGCTCGACACAGAAGGTGAGCCGCCTTTGAATCGCTTCCGCTTCCAACCTCACCAAGCCAAGCCGCCTTGCTGAACTCGCCGCGTTTCTCCTTTCCCTCACAGTACGCATCCCCTCGGTCGGATCCGGAGCGCCGGCGCCACAAGCATGCGCGCGTGAATGCCCGCCGATTGTCGTCTCCTCGCCTCGACCGCCCATGTAACGGCGTCCAGAGGCCGTCGTGTCGAGCTTGCGCCCCTCCCCTTCTGCACGGACAAAAGATGGCTACCGTCTTCCTGTCGCGTCGGAGAGGGGTCTCGAGCATGACGATGACGGTCGGACGGCGGGCGTCATGAGGTCCGAGAGGCTCAAGGTCAAGGTCAAGGCACGCAGGCAGAGCCGGAGCCGCCGCTTCGGCGACCGCCGCGGCAAGACGGGCTTCGTCGACACGGGCAAGCAGGAGATGCCGCCAGAGGTGCTGCGCAAGGTCATCAAGGACCACGGCGACATGAGCAATCGCAAGTACCGCCAGGACAAGCGCGTCCACCTCGGCGCGCTCAAGTACGTGCCGCACGCCATGATGAAGGTGCTCGAGAACATCCCGATGCCGTGGGAGCAGGTGCGCGAGGTGCCCGTGCTCTACCACATCGCCGGCGCCATCACGTCCGTCAACGAGGTGCCCAAGGTCATCGAGCCCGTCTTCCACGCCCAGTGGGCCACCATGTGGCTGGCGATGCGGCGCGAGAAGCGCGACCGGCGCCACTTTAAGCGGATGCGCTTCCCGCCGTTGACGACGAGGAGTCCGTCGTCGACTACGGCGACAACCTGCTCGACGTCGAGCCGCTCGAGGCCATCCAGCTCGAGCTTGACGAGGAAGAGGACAGCGCCATCATCGACTGGTTCTACGACCACAAGCCGCTGCTCGACGACGGCGAGCACGTCAACGGGCCAACGTACGGCCTCCGGAACCTCGGCCTGCCGCAGATGGCGGCGCTCCATCGCCTCGGCCGCACGCCGAGCCATCCCCGGCGGCCCCAAGTTCGAGCCGCTGTACAAGGACACCGGCGGCTTCGACGACGACTTCCACCGACTTTCGCAAGGTCATCATCCGCCAGCAGATCCGCACCGAGTACAAGGTGGCCTTCCCGCACCTCTACAACAGCCGGCCGCGCTCGGTGCACATCGGCACCTACCACGAGCCCAAGAACGTCTACATCCGCTCCGACGAGATCGACCAGGCCTTCTACTTTGACCCGGTCATCAACCCGATCTCGGGCCGCTCGCTGGCCAGCTCCAACGCCTTCCGGAGCGAGTACGACGGACGGCACGCCGGTGCTGGCCCACGAGGACGACGTCTTCGGCGAGGGCGTCGAGGGCGACGACGAGCTGCCGGACGAGGTGGCCTTTTCGCTGCCGGACGACGTGGCGCCGTTCCTCGACGAGCGGCCGCTGGAGAACGAAGCTGACGGCCGACGCCATCGCGCTGTGGTGGGCGCCGTCGCCCTACGACCGGCGCAGCGGCCGCACGCGGCGCGCCGTCGACGTGCCGCTGGTGCAGACGTGGTACCTCGAGCACTGCCCGCCCAACCAGCCGGTCAAGATCCGCGTCAGCTACCAGAAGCTGCTCAAGAACTACGTCTACAACTCGCTCCACACGCGCAAGCAGAAGCCGCAGAAGCGCAAGTACCTCCTCAAGCAGCTCAACGCCACCAAGTTCTTCCAGAACACGAGCATCGACTGGCTCGAGGCGGGCCTGCAGGTGTCGCGGCAGTCGTTCAACATGCTCGACCTGCTGATCCACCGCAAGGGCTGCTCGGCGCTCCACCTTGACTTCAACTTCAACCTCAAGCCAACCAAGATGCTGACGACCAAGGAGCGCAAGAAGAGCCGCTTCGGCAACGCCTCCCACCTGGTCCGCGAGATGGCGCGCATCGTCAAGCTCCTCGTCGACAGCCAGGTGACCTACCGCCTCGGCTCGATCGACGCCTTCCAGCTGGCCGACGGCCTCCAGTACCTCTTCAACCACGTCGCCACCCTCAGCGGCATGTACCGCTACAAGTACCGCGTGATGCGCCAGATCCGCGCGTGCAAGGACCTCAAGCACGTCATCTACTTGCGCTTCGACACGGGGCTCGTCGGCAAGGGGTCCGGGCATCGGCTTCTGGGCGCCGTCGAGGCGCGTATGGACGTCCTTCCGCCGCAGCATCACGCCGCTCCTCGAGCGCTGGCTGCGCGACCGGCTGGCGAGGAAGTCTGAGGGGCGCAAGGACCGCGCCAAGGGCGTCTCGACCATCACCAAGCAGCGCGTCGAGAGCTCCTTCGACCTCGAGCTGCGCGCCAGCGTGCTGCACGACATCCTCAACGTCATGCCCGCCAGCGTCGAGGTCAACGAGTCGCGCGTCTCCTCCGGCGCCTCTCGACGGCGTGGCGCTGCTACAAGTCCAACACGCCGTGGAAGGTGCCGGGCATGCCGACGGCCGTCGAGAACCTCATCCTGCGCTACGTTAAGCTCAAGGCCGACTGGTGGACGTCGGTGACGCACTACAACCGCGAGCGCATCCGCCGCGGCGCCACCGTCGACAAGACGGTCAGCAAGAAGAACCTCGGCCGCCTCACCTGCCTCTACCTCAAGGCCGAGCAGGAGCGCCAGAACTCGTACCTCAAGGATGGGCCCTACATCACGTCCGAGGCCGCCGTCGCCATCTACACGTCGACCGTCCACTGGCTCGAGAGCCGTCGCTTCCAGCCGATCCCTTTCCCTCGCTCAACTTTAAGCACGACACCAAGATCCTCGTCCTCGCCCTCGAGAAGCTCAAGGAGTCGTACAGCGTCAAGGGCCGCCTCAACCAGAGCCAGCGCGAGGAGCTCGCCCTCATCGAGCAGGCGTTCGACAACCCGCACGAGACGCTGGCGCGCATCAAGCGCCTGATGCTCACCCAGCGCGCCGCCAAGGCCGTCGGCATCGAGTTCTTCGACACGTTCGACAAGCTCATCCCGTGCTACGACATCGAGCCGATGGAGAAGATCATCGACGCCTACCTCGACCAGTACCTCTCCTACGAGGCCGACAAGCGCCAGCTCTTCCCCGCCTGGGTCAAGCCGAGCGACCTCGGAGCCGATGCCGCTGCTCGTCTACAAGTGGTGCAACGGCATCAACAACCTCGACGGCGTCTGGGACACGTCCGAGGGCCAGTGCAACGTGCTCATGGAGACGACCCTCAGCCGCGTCTACGAGAAGATCGACCTGACGCTCCTCAACCGGCTGCTGCGCCTCATCATGGACCACAACCTCGCCGACTACATCACGTCCAAGAACAACGTCTCGATCGTCTTCAAGGACATGGAGCACATCAACACGTACGGCCTGATCCGCGGTCTCCAGTTTAGCGCCTTCGTGTTCCAGTACTACGGCCTCATCCTTGACCTCCTCATCCTCGGCCTGCAGCGCGCCAGCGAGATGGCGGGCCCGCCGGCGATGCCCAACGGCCTCTTCCAGTTCAAGGACGCCGCCACCGAGGCCGCCCACCCGATCCGCCTCTACACGCGCTTCGTCGACCGCATCCACATCCTCTACCGCTTCGACGCCGACGAGGCGCGCGACCTCATCCAGCGCTACCTCAGCGCCAACCCGGACCCCAACAACAGCAACCTCATCGGCTACAACAACCGCAAGTGCTGGCCCCGCGACTGCCGCATGCGCCTCGTCAAGCACGACGTCAACCTCGGCCGCGCCGTCTTTTGGACCGTCAAGAACAGCCTGTCGCGCAGCCTCACCACCATCGAGTGGGACGACACGCTGTGCTCGGTCTACAGCAAGGACAACCCCAACCTCCTCTTTTCCATGGCCGGCTTTGAGGTCCGCATGCTGCCCAAGGCCCGCCAGGGCGACGTCGACACCACCTGCGACGGCGTCTGGCCCCTCGTCGCCGCCGCATCGGGCGAGCGCACCACCACCGCCTACCTCCGCGTCTCGGACGAGGGCATCGCCAACTTCAACAACCGCGTCCGCGCACTGCTCATGTCGGCCGGCGCCGCCCCGTTTAGCAAGATCGCCAACAAGTGGAACTCGTGCCTGATCGCGCTGATGACCTACTACCGCGAGGCCGTCGTCAACACCAAGGAGCTCCTCGACCTCCTCGTCAAGAGCGAGAACAAGGTCATCAACCGCATCAAGTCCGGCGTCAACTCCAAGATGCCCTCGCGCTGACCCATCCACATCCTCGCCTCGCCCAAGGAGCTCGGCGGTCTCGGCATGCTCTCGACGGGCCACGTCCTCAGCCCCGCCTCGACCTCCGCTACTCGCGCCAGACGGCCACCGGCATCACCCACGTCCGCTCCTGCCCGTCGTCCGGACAGGAGGACCAGCTGCTCCGCGCCCTCTACTGCTACATCATCCCGCGGGCATCGGAGTTTGAGGACTCGGCGCCCGTCTGGCAGGAGTACGCCCAGAAGCGCAAGGAGGCCAGCGAGCAGAACCGCCGCCTCACCCTCGAGGACCTCGAGGACTCGTGTCAACGCGACCTCCCGCGCACCGCCACCCTCTTCTGAAAGGACCGCACCATCCTCTCCTACGACAAGATGTGGCGCGTGCGGCAGGAGTTCAAGCGCTACCAGGTCGCCAAGTCACAGCCGTTCGCCCGGACCGACCAGCGCCACGACGGCGAGCTCCACAACCTCAACCAGCTCCGCACCGACACTGTCGCTGCCCTCGGCGGCGTCGAGACCATCCTCGAGCACTCGCTCTTTGCCGCCACGGCCCACCCGACCTGGGAGGGCCTCTTTTGGGAAAGGTCGTCGTCGTTCCAGGAGAGCATGCAGCACAAGCGCCTCACCAACGCACAGCGCTCCGGTCTCAGCCAGATCCCCAACCGCCGCTTCACCCTCTGGTGGTCGCCCACCCTCAACCGATCCAGCGTCTACATCGGCTTCCAGGTCCAGCTCGACCTCTGCGGCGTCCTCATGTCCGGCAAGATGCCCTCGCTCAAGATCTCCTACATCCAGCTCTTCCGCGCCCACCTCTGGCAAAGGTCCCACAAGTCCGTCGTCGTGGACCTCTGCCAGGTATTCGACCAGGAACTCGAGGCCCTCTCCATCGAGACCGTACAGAAGGAGACCATCCACCCGCGCAAGTCCTACCGCATGACGGCCTCCTTGTCCGACATCCTCCTCTTTGCCAGCTACAAGTGGCCAATGTCCCGCCCGTCCCTCCTCACCGACGCCCGCGACGTCCTCGACGGTTCCTCCGGCAACAAGTGGTGGGTCGACGTCCAGCTTCGATGGGGCGACTACGACTCCCACGACATCGAGCGATACTGCCGCGCAAAGTTCCTCGACTACACCTCCGACAACACCTCCATCTACCCATCCGCCACCGGCACCCTCATCGGAATCGACCTCGCCTACAACATCCACTCCGCCTACGGCATCTGGTTCCCCGGCACGCAGAGCGGAGGTCCTTTCCGCTCGACATCCCTCAATCGTCGAAATCTTCTCAGACTTCTCAGAGCTGCCGTCCGGGGTCTCCGACGATTGTCAGATTGTCAGCAACACGGCCGCTCTCCGCTCCTCTGCCTCCGCTCCTCCCTGGCTCCGGTTTTCTCCTCTGCCGTGGCCGCCAGTTCCGCACCTCGCTGCCTCGCTGCCTCGCTGCGCCACCGCCTCGCTGCCAGTTCCGCACCTCGCTGCCTCGCTGCCTCGCTGCCTCGCTGCCTTGCTGCCTCCGCACCTCCTCGCCTCGCTGCCTCGCCGCTTTCCGCACCTCCTCGCCTCGCTGCCTCGTAGATACATAAAGGCGGCCAGATCGCTCGCACCTCCCTCCTCTCTCACCGCCACCACCACCCACCTCCACCACTCGGTCTCTCCCTGTGAGTCTGCCTCCGTCTCGACCCCGTGCTCTCTCTCTGCTGCCGTTGCGCTGTCGCTGACCATCACTGCCCTTGCTTTCCCTCTGCTCACCATCCTCTGCTTCGCCGCCGCTGTCAACTCGTCTGGCCTCGCTCACCACTACCTCGCTGCCGCACCACCGCCCGCCGACCTCGCGCTCCCGCCGCCACACCGCCGGTCGATCTCGTACACCCGCCGCCGCACCGCCCGCCGACCTCGTACATCCGCGCTCAACAGCTGTACCTACTCGTCGCAATGTCAAACATGAAGATCTTCATCCGCTACTTCTGCATCGTGTACAAGGAGCTGACCGAGGTCGACCTCGCTCTCAAGCACCAGGAGATCCTCTTCAAGAGCGACCTCGAAGACGAGCACAAACGCGCCAGGCTGCTTGCCATCGAATGGGTCATGTGGTGGCGCGACTCGGTCTTCGATCCCAATGGATGCATGGCGTCTTCGCTCGTTGGCTACGGCTGCAGGAGGCCCACCGTCGCCGGCTGTCTCAAGTACGCCTGGGTCGACGGACGAGTGCTCTGGCTCAAGGTGACCATGGTCGACTGCCTGTTCTGCCTCAAGCACCTCGAACTTTGCCACACCATCGTGTCCGACGACGAGCGCCCCGACGAATGCTGCGTCGCCGACAGCACTGGCGTCTCGGACCCGACCTTCGACGTCAAGAAGACGGGCCTGTCCACGGATCCGGAGCCGGCGTTCGACGACCCCGCCCACTGCCAGCCCATCTTTGGCTGGTCGCTCCTCGAGGTGAAGCAGTATGTCCGCCGTCTCCGCAGGCGCAAGGAGCAGGCCATCCTTGCTCGCGGCCCCGACCTCTGATCGCCACAGTCGGACAGACACAGGCGCAAAGCCAACGTGCTCGTGTTTGAATTCACAACTCGGTCCTCCCTCTTCTCGGTATGTGTGTGTGTGCCTGTGCTTCGATGCTTCGCGACCGCCACGGGCTCGGCGAGCCGTCGAGCGAGGTGGCGAGCGTGGCCAGCCCGGCCAGGCGGGCGGGCGGATGCGCGCAAAAAAAAAATGTGGAGGCCACGCTGGCTGCCCTGCGTGTGTGGCCACGCCTGGCCTCTGCCTGGCGGGCGTGCCCACGCACGCACGCCCCTGACCGCCACCCGCCCTGGTATGGTAGGGTATAAAGTCTTGCCCCCTCCGCTTTCGCTCCTTCCCTCCCGATCCCATCCATCGACCACCGCCACCCGGCCGACGTCAACGCCACCAATCGGCACCCAGTCGCCTCGTCCCGCCCTGGCCGCCCTATGCCCATCGACCCCTCGCCCGCCGCCGCCGCCACCCAACTAACGTCGACGCCACCCACTGCCCCGACCGCGCTATGCCCTGTGACCCCTCGCTCGCCACCGCCACCCGACTGACGTCGATGCCACCCACCGCTCCGATCCCATCCATCGACCCCTCGCCCGCCGACGCCACCCGACTGCCCTCGACGCCACCCACCAGATCCAGCCGCCTCGTCCCGGCCCGGCCGCGCCAAGCCCTGTGACATCTCGCCTGCCAACGCCACCGCCTTCCCCATCAACCACAGGTTTGGACCAGCTCCGCTCCGCCCCTGTTCCACCGCTCTGTACCCTGGGAGGCCTGCTGACATGTCGCTTCTCCACCCTTCTCCACAGGTTACCGTCAACACCTTCGTCGACTCGCAACCACCGTTCGTCCGCACGACGAGGGCTGCCCCTCACGAAGCTGTCCACATGCGGTCGCCATCTGCCGATACTGGGTGCTGACTTCTATGCCGCCTCTTTGCCCATCTGCAGTGTGTACAACAGCCGACACCTTCTTCCGACTGCCACGCGCCTTCGCGGATCGTCAAGATGTCGGCAGGTGAGTCGCAGCCACCGATTCCGTCGTATCTACCGCGTCGATGATGTCTGCGCCCGGCTCACCCTCGCACAACGCCGATAATGCTCATGTTCTTCTCTCCTCTTCTCACCAGCAGCTGCCGCCACCGTCACCCGCTGCTCTGACGACGCCATCGGAACCTGGCCGCCGCCTGTCGACACCAATCAAGTGAGTGCATCGATCTGCTGCCTGCTGCCACCATCGGACAACATCGGCGCTGATGTCTCACCATTCTCGGCCATTGCCTTCGTCCTCGACCCACCCTTGTCCAGCAGCACGCCTCAGCCGCAATGACAAGGTGTTCACGCCACCAACAGCGCCACCGCCACGCTGCGCTTGCCCGGGTCAGTATCGTCGCCCCTTCCGCCGTCGCTCTATCGCGGCACGCTGACAATCTGCTTCTATCCCTTCTTCAGGTCAGAACGCCACCCCGCCCTGCATCAACGCGCCACCGCCACCGGATCAAGGCCGACCCACGCTCGATGTGAGTTGCCTCCTTGCCGGCGCAGGTGCTGCCAAGGGTTGGCAATGCTGACAATCGCCTCGACCTTCAACCTCCAACCCTCTCCCTTGCCCTTGCCTCCCTTGCCCTCGCCTCCCTTGCCCTCGCCGATGACCAGCAGCAAGCCTTGCCCCTCGCACGCGGCCCAAGCCATCAGGACGTCACCAGGTGAGTTGAACAGGTCGCCTCGGCCGCACCTACCGCTGCCGACGTCGCTCACACCCCTGCCTCCCTCTCGCCTTCTCACCAGCAGCCGCCACCACCGCCGCCCAACGCCCTGCATACTACGCAGCAACCCAAGTTGTTGGTGAGTCCTTGCACTGCTGCCGCCGACCCGCCGTGTCGGCTGACATGCCACCTTCTTGCCCCAGACCGACCTCTTTGCCACACTGCGGGCTTGTGCTTGCTGCAGGTGAGTTGTGACGGTACCACACCACGCCATTTGTTGCGTCGGACTGGTTGCTGACCACGCGCTTGCTCTTTTGCCCTTCACCCCTCCGCTCCGTTGGCATTGGCATCCCTTCATGCTTGTCCTCTTTCCCTGTCTGGCCTGCTGCCTCGTCCACGCCACCATTATCGTAGATGTAGTACGGCCCGACATATGTAGATTAGCTTCGCTAGCCCGAATCGAAGGCTGTTGTACGAATGCACTAGCGTACGTGGTCTACGGCCTGCTGTCCTCGACGCTCATCGACGGCAGTCGAATGCCGTAGGGTGGCCTGCGGCATTCCACTGCCGTAGGGCTGTCCGCGGCAAGTGAGTGCCGTAGGGCGGCCTACGGAGGTTGAGTGCCGTAGGGCGGTCTACGGCCCCTGTTGATCGTACACTGCTCTACGGCTTTTTGGCCGTAGGCTCATATACGTGCAAAAAGCCGTAGAGCAGCCTGCGGCAGTCGAGGGCCGTAGAGCAATATATGCATATTGTGCCGTAGGCCCCCTACGACCCCAGTGCCGTAGGGGATTAACGATCTCCTACGGCACTGCCATATCGTACGAGATCTACGATTTCCAAAATCGTAGGAGAATTCCTGCCCCTAGCTATGAGATGCAACAGAATCGGAAAGGGCAACTCACCTGCTGACATGCTGATGATCTGCCAAGTGCGTGGCGGGAGGCAAGCAGAGATTGCCGTCAGCGCTGACGCGGGCCCGAAGCCTGGGCCACGCTGACCCTGACGCGTTTTCTTCTCTCGGCCGAGACGGCCTTTTTTGCCTGCCAGCTGGCAGAGCTTTTTGCCGCGCGCGCGCGCGTCCATCTCCCTTCCCTTCCCACCATCATCGTCTCCAGCCAAAAAGTGGCCTCCCCATCCGTCTCCTGCCTTGCGTGCTTTGTCCGTTTCAGCGCCCAAGATCAGCAGGTAGCGACCGCGCGCGTACAGCTTGTGACTCACGCTTGCAAAAAGGCGATCTTTATTGTGTGGGCGGTGGAGGCGAGTTGGCGTTGGCAGTAGCGGCAAGTTGGCGTCGGTGGTGGCGGCAAGTCGGCATCGATGGTGGCGGGGTTAAACGGCTGGGGAAGGTGATTGTTGGTGGCGTTGAGGTCGATTGGGCCAATGGCGGCGAGCAAGGGCTGACGGCGGTTGGGTGGCGGCGGCGGGCAAAGGTCCAATGGCGGGCGAGGGTTGATGGTAGTGGTCAGGTGGGAAGGAGCGACAGTGGAGCGGGCAAGACTTTATACCGAGGCAGGCGGGCAGGCAAGGCCACGCTGGCGGGCAAGGCTCAGCTGGCGGGCGGGCGGAGGCAGGCTGCCAGCCTGCGTGAGCACACACGCACGCAAGCCTGCGAGCCTGCGTGAGCACGCACGCAGGTGGTGGTGTGGCCTGGCCTTCACTTTTTTTGCGCGCGCGCAAGCTTAGTCAGCCGCTGCAAACGGACCAAAGGGACGGGAGATGCTCAAATCGGATGGTGGTGTGCTGGCAGGCCCGGTGGCGCGTGCGCGCTAGCTAAAATACAGGAATCTCGGAAATCGGAAAAAAGGAAGACGCGCCTCGGAGCTGTTGGCAGAGCCCCCAAACCAAAAAGGCTCCGTCCCGGAGCCGAAGCTCTCGGGCGGGAAGTGCTAGCTATGGTGACTGGAATGGTGACGAGAACGGGAGAAGACTGAGACGGAATGGAACTCGGAACGGGAATCGGAACCGAAGAACAGAATGTGGAGAAGCGGTCACAGCTCGGGAGTCTTGTCATCGGTCTTGTCGACGACAGCGTCAAGGGCGTTGAGATCTGCGTCGTCCTCAGGAAGTGCTGGCCAGAAGCGCTTGAGACAACAACAATGAGCGCGTTTGATGTGGGACGCATCGGCGAGGAGCCGGATGCGGTACGACCGGCGGAACTTAGCCTCGACGACATATGGGCCCGTCCAGCGCGGTGCAAGCTTGGCTGAGGTGGCGTAGGTGGAACGGAGTCTGCTCTCGTACTTGAGGACGAGATCGCCTTCTTTGAACTCCTTGGGGTCACGTCGTGGCGCTGACGTACGTAGCTGGCGGTCTTGGCTGCCGAGGTGACGGATCTGGGCGCGCTCACGATCGACATCGACAAACGCGCGGGCCAGCTGGCGTTGCTCGACTGTTGGCTCGACGGTTGCGGCAACAAGATCCTCGCGTGGGTAGCGCGTCAGCCCGTAATGTAGCTGTAAGGGCGACAGGTCGGACAGCTCCTTCATCGGGTGTCTGTTGACGGCACGCAGTGCGTCATCGAGGTGCGGTAGCCATTGGGCAGATGCGGTCTCGCCGATAGGGACCTCTGTTGGCGCGGACAGCTTCTTGAGCTCATCGAGGATGGAGCGGTTGGCGCGCTTGACCATACCGTTGACCCAGGGTGCGTACGACGGCGTGATGTGGTGTAGCATGCCGACTTTCTCGAGATAGACCGCAACTTCTTGGCAGTTGAAGTGGGACCCGCTGTCGGTCACGAGGGTGTGAGGCAGGTGTCTGAGGGCCTTGCGCAACGACATGAGCGCCTTGACAACCTCGTTGCGGGTGGCGGAGCGCACGGGAAACGCCCAGGTGAAATGCGAGAAGTAGTCGATGACCACAAGTAGCTTGTTGATGCCGTGTGACAGTGGGAGTGAGACAAAGTCAGCAGCCCATGTCTCCATCGGCGAGATGACAACGACGGGACTGAGAGTGGTCCCTTCGGTCGGTCCGAACTGCTGGCACGTCTGGCAGCGCTTGACGAACTCGGCGATGTCGTGGACAAGGCGCGGCCAGGTGAGGCGCTGTTGGAGGCGTAGCTTGGCAAGGATGGTGGCGCGGCCGTAGTGACCCTCTTGATCATGCACTTGACGCAAGATGTTGCGGCCCTCCTTTTGCGAGACGAAGCGGAGCGGCCACAGCGCGGAGCGATACCAGAGCTGGCCGTCCTTGACAAAGTAAAGGCGCTGGCGTCTGAGTCGGTCTCGTGTCGCTCGGTCTTCCAGCATCTCAAGGAGCAGGAGGAATCGTACGGTAGCCTCGAGCTCGTCCCCTTCAAAGCGCTTGAGCAGGCGCTCCGCGGTCTCGTTGATGCGCAAATACTTGTCGTCTCGAGGGACCTTGGGAAGCGTCTTGAGCGACAGCGACAGCAGTTCGCAGTCCGTAGTCTCGACGGGCTGAGGCGGGTCATCGGAAGCAGCAGGTGGCCGGTGGCTGAGGCTGTGAGCAAGCTGGTGGCTTCGGCCAGAGACATGCTTGACGCGGACAATGTCATGGCGGAGCAGCTCCTCGCGCCAGCGGGCGTGCGCGTTCGGGAAGCGATCCAAGTCGAGAATCTGCTTGAGGGCTTGGCAGTCAGTGACAAGGACAATAGGCTGGCCGAACGTATACGGCGCAAACTTGTCCAGGACGAACTTTGCTGCCACGAGCTCTCCAAGATGCGCCGGGTATCGTTGCTCTCGCTCGGTGTTTCGCTTGCTGGCGTATGCGAGCGGAAAGACGACACGCTTGACCTTGGGCTTGTCGGCGGTCGACGCAGCGGTCTCGTTGAGCGGCTCATGGGTCTCAGTGTCCTCGATGACCTCCCACCGCTTCGTGGCTGGGTCTTGCTGGACAAGGTATTCTTGCAACAGGACGGCGCCAATGCCCTTGCCGCTCCAGTCTGAGTGCACAAAGAATGGGTGGCCATCGTAGCGCGGCTTGCGGACAACGCGGCAGTTGACAAGCTGTTGCTTGACTTGCAGGAATGCGGCATCGTGGCGAGGGCCCCAGAGGTCGTCGAGAGTCCTATCGTAGTCATCGACGTTGCGGGTGAGCTCGTTGAGCAGTGCAAAGTGCTTGGCGAAGTCGGGCACCTTGCTGCGCAGATACGAAGCCGTGCCGCGGAACTGCATGAGCTCGCGTACCGTAGAAGGCTTGGGCCAGTCGACAATGGCGCGAAGGCGCTCAGGATCAACTCGGATGCCGTGCTGACCGACAATGTGGCCGCAAAACTGGACCTCTTTGTGGAAATAGGAGCACTTCTTGACCGAGAGAGTAAAGCCGACGTCAATGCAGCGGTTGAGGAAGAGCCGGTTGAACTCGAAGAAGTCGCCGTAGCTCTGCTTGCTGCCGCCGCTGTCGTCCATCCAACATGTCCTGTTGCAATCGAAGATGTCGCCAAATGCTTCGACGATGAAGCGATTGAAGACGGAGGGCGAGATCTTAAAGCCGAAGGGCATGACCATGTAAACGACGTAGCCCCGGCCGGGCACCCAGGTCGTCGAAAGCAGCATGCCACAGGCGGAGAGAAGTGCCACAAAGAAGGCAGAGCAGCCATCCACTTTGAAAACGTAGCGCTTGCCCGAGAGCTTGCCCATCTTGACGTCCATGTCGCTGGGGTAGAACGACTTGTCGCGCATGTACTTGTTCACGCCGGCATACTTGGTGACAAGGCGCCACTTCTTCTCGGCGGGAGGCGGGCGGGCAAGTGCTGCTGGATCCGGCTCGGGAATCGACGGATCATGGTTGAGGCCCGCCTTCTTCAACGCGGAGTTGACAATCTGCTTGAGCACCTCGAGAGAGACGGGAGGGTACTCCGACGATGGCTTCGGCACTATGCGCGTCTCGGATACAATGCTGACCTCGTCCTCAGCGATGTAGCGCATGATATTGTTCGCCATGTACTCGTCGACAATCTTGTTGAAGAACTCCTGCTGTGGCAGCGAGAGCGGCTGTTGACGGCCCCGATGCGTCGTGGGCGGTGGCTCGGCGGTAAGCTTGGGATCGCAAACGATGGCGCGGTTCTGCTTGCAGTCAGCGAGCGACTTGGCGAAGGCAAGGTGCTTGGCCTTCAGCAGCGCTTTGAAGTGCTCGCGTTCCGCTGGGGTCCCTACGCTGCCAAAGCGGGCTGCAATGGTGTCGGCGATGCGCTGCGCGCGCTCCTCGCTATCGTCGTCGGGCCGACCACTCAAGCGGAACGGCTGGAATCGATCTCGGTGGGCCTGCCGATCTGCAAGGTAGTCTGCGTCGTCGTTGATCAACGGGTAGAGCTGCTGGAGTCGCTGGAGTTCTGCCGGATCCACCGGTGCCTCTGCCAATTGGACGGTGTGTAGCGGTGCTACGGCGGACTCGGTTGACTCGTCGCTGCTCTCTGCCAACTCGACCTTGTCCTCAAGCAGGATCTCGACCTCATCCGTCTTGTCGTAGACTGGCGCCAACAATTCCAGGTCACCCTTGAGCGCAAGCGCTGGCGCAGTAGCGCTACCTAGCCTGTGGATGGCGAGCACCTCGAGTTCCTCAATGTTGGCCTCCATCGCATCCTTGGTCAGGCGGAGGGCATCGAGCGGCGTCTCGGGCAGTCCCGGCATGTAGGCTTGACGCTTGCTCTCGAGCCGGATCCATCGGCGACCGTCACTGGACTTGTCAGGCATAGGAATGAACGCAAGCTCGAGCCGGTAGAAGTGGATCATGCCAATTTCCGCCTTCCACGGTTTGCCGAAGAGCAGGGTGCCCGGGTATCCTCGCAGCACCTCAAATGACTGCTTGAGCGTACAAGAGAGGTGACCTTTGTCTCCAACGCAGACCGTGAGCTCGATGGTGCCGTCCGACTTGACGACCTTGCCGTTACCGAGCTTAGCGTAAACGTTGCTAGGACGGAGCGTGACTGGTCCATACGCGCCAAGGAAGTTGTATGACGCGACGTTCATCATGGCGCCATCGTCTAGCTCTGCATTGGTGGCAGTCACGTGGCCTGTGGTCTTGTTGAGGACCTCCGCGTAGACTTGGAACGGCGTGTTCTTGCCGCGGAGAGCTGCCTGCTCCATCGCGCGGAAGTCGATGAGCGCCTTGATGCGACGGCGCTGGCGACGTGAAGGTTGCAGCTGGACGATGACGGCTTGCTGCTGCTGCTCAGGCGGAACTCTCTCTCTCGGTTCCTCTCAGTGGCAGCGCTCTGGCCCACGCTTGGACTCGCTCACGAGCGGCTCTGGCGTCACCCCGATCTCTTCTCTCTCTTCTTCTTCTTGCACTTGCGGCGCTTCAGCGCGTGCTGGCCCAGGCTCGGCGACTAGAGCTGGGGTTGGTGCGGTACGGCGCGGGATGGAAGGCGTAGGCTTTGTGCTCGGACGTGAAACGGGACTTGGCGCTGAAACTTGAGCTGGACCTGACGGCGGCGAGGGCACTGGAGCGGGTGCAGTGGACGGGACTGGAGCCGGCATCGGAAGCGGGTGCTCAGGTGGCGGAGGCGTGAAGACATCCTCGAAACCCGGAGTGACGTCGCAATGTTGCGAACGGCGAATAGCCGCTAGGTCCGGACATTGCTCGTCAAGCTCGGCGAGCGCTGTCGGGACATGCTGACGGGCACTGGCTGGATCGGAAAACGGCGGACGACAAAGGAGCTGAAAGGTTGGGCGCGGCGGAAGAGAGGAATGTGACTTGACGCTCGACAAAGGCAGGATAGCCCCGGGAGGCGAGCGGATCTCTGAGGGCCCGCTCAGTTTCCCGACGGCAGTCCGAGGGCACGTCGCGCGTAGTTGATGTCCCTACCAAGGCCGTTGCGGAAGGAGATCTCTGCCTGCGTGAGCAGCGTACCGGTGCACGACGCCTGCTGATGACCGCGGTGGCCACATCGGTGGCACTCGGTGCCGTCCGCGGGCTCGGTGCCGGGCGCGAGCGGGAACTCATCCTCCGTGGTCGGGCGCGAGACGGTGCGCGGATGACGCTGCTGCCAGGCCGCCTTCTTTTGCTCATAGATGCGATGGCCGTCGGGCGTTGCCGATGGCTCCGAGGCGCGTCTAGCATTTTACCTCTTCCAACTTCCGAGCCCCACCTGTATTATAGCCTCGCGCGCGCGCGTATCCCCCCTGCCAGCACACCATCACCTTCCGAATCCAGCATCCGTCCCTTTGGTCCGTTTTCAGCGTGTCTGGGTGCGTTGACTGGCCGTTGCGGAGCAGGACTGCAAGGCGCTCACGAGCAGAAAGCGAGGCGAGAGGGCGAGTGGGCGACGGGGTCAGGCTCGGAGGGTACGGGGCCGGGCGCTGACAAGGCGGACTTGGGCGGTAGCTCGGACCGGCACCATTGTATGGGACAGGGCCATTGGGCAGAGGGTACGAGCCGTCGCCGATACGGCGCTGAGCCGGCACTAGGACCGGAGCGGACTGCTGCCAGAAGTGACGCATCTGGTCGACGTCGACTTCCACCTCCGTGTACTTGTCGGCGGTCCTTTTGACGTCGTCCCACGACTCCTCAAACTCGCCGATGCGGCCGATCTTGCGCTCCTCGTCAATGGCCTCCACAAGCTGCGGATGGTTGACCTTGCGCATCGCGGCGACGACGTCAGCCACGTTGGTAGTGGTGCCTGGAAGCGCCACGGTCTGGCGGATGGCGCGAGGCAGGCCGTGGATGAGATGCTTGGCTCGGAACCCTTGGACGATGTGCTTGTTGCTAACTCGGCGGTCTGCAGCGGCGATCTCGTCGAGCAGCTTGTCGTAGCTCTTCTTGTCTCGAATGGCGTCATACTTGCTGAGCTCAGCGGCCTTGCTTTGGAAGCCGAGGAAGGCACCAAAGCTGTAGCCGTCGATGGCCTCGTCACCATACTTCTCGAGGAAGGCCTTCTCGATCGCCTTGAACGAGGCCTGCGTGCTTGCGTCGAGGGTATCGAACCATGTCTTGGCATCCTTGTCGATGAGCAGCTGGAAGATTTCGGCTCGCTTGCCGTCGTCGTCGTACTTGCGGTCCAGACAGTAAAGCTGGAACTGACGTAGCCACTTGCGCGCCGGCTGTTCGACGGGCTTGCCGCGGTACGGAGTCGGCATGCCGCCGAACGTCAGGCGGTTGCGCTCGCGCTCGAGACGATCTTTGTACTCAGCCATGATGCGATTGAGCTCGATCTGGGCAGCACGGAGGGCTTCCTTGGTTGCCTGGAATGCCTCGCGGCGGAGATGCCGGAAGGTGCAATAGTCGAGCGGAAAGGGAGCTCCGGGCAGTGACGTGGTGGAAACGATGGAAAGGGTCGACTGGCCGGTAGGCTCGCGAGAGCGGATGGAAGGAGGTTCGGAAAGCGTCGAGGTCGTCGGTGCTGGAGTCGAATGGTACGAGGGCGGGAGTGGAATCGATGCCGCAAGCTCAAGTGTCGAAGACTGATTAGCCGGTTCTGGGAAAGGTGCAGGCGAAAGGCGCGAAGGTGTTGCCACCGCAGCGATGGCCTGGCTGGATCCGTACAACGGGAGCCGCGATGCCGGAAGCCGGGAAGCAGGGAGTCGAGCGACGGGACGAGAAGAGAGGTCAACGGGATTGAAGACCAGAGGCGGCGGCCTACTTATAGTCTCGAAGTGTCGCTTGCGAGTCGCTGGTTGGGGTGCGCGGAGGAGAGGCGCGAGTGCGGCAGCTTCTGCCTCAGCAGCGGCAACTGCTCGAGTTCGTCCTGGTGAGGTCTGGGCCCTCTGCGGTGTCGGTCAACGAGGCGGTGACGGAGTCGGGCTCGGAGTCAGGGACGGAAGGGGTGAAGAGGATTGCTGCATGCACCGGGTCACCGGAAAGTAACCGCTGCAAGCAAGGTGGCACACAGGGAGTCGCGGAACGGGGGAGAACGGTGGCCGCTACGGTTTGAGCCGCAGGGTAGGTCGAATCAGTCAGAGGATGCGATGCAAGTGGGGCGATGGATGCGATGCCTAATCAGGACAAAAAGAAGACTGCGGGCTGTGAGGGGTAGCTGCGACGGATCGGTGGCGAGCGCGCGTGCGTCGTCAGAAGCCGCGCAGAGTCAGATCAATCGGAACGAGTCGGTGATGCTGTTGACGAGGCGCTACAGTAGGTCAAGAGCTGGCTTCAGGTTGTCGGTAGGAGCAGACGGGCTTGATGTTGTCATTCCCTGTAGGGGTCTCCAAACTGCAAACGGACCAAAGGGACGGGAGATGCTCGAATCGGATGGTGGTGTACTGGCAGGCCCGGTGGCGCGCGCGCGCGCTAGCTAAAATACAGGAATCTCGGAAATCGGAAAAAAAGGAAGACGTGCCTCGGAGCCGTTGGCACCGCGCCAGCCAGCCAGCCCCTGAGCCAACCAGCCAACTCGCCTGCCTGTGCCAGCCAGCCGTCCCACCCGCGCGCCTGCCCAAGCCTGCGAGCCAACCCAGCCCCCGAGCCTGCCAGCCAACCCAGCCCCCGAGCCTGCCTCCCAGCCAGCCCGCCCGCCCGCAGCTTGGCTGCTCGCTGCAGCAGGCAGGGCGGAAGCGGAGGGGAGCAGCCGTCAATCATCGGAATCCTCGGAGAGGCGCTCTCCAAGGATTCCGATGATTGACGGCGCGGACGCGGCGCAGACACGGCATGGACGCGGTAGGCAGGGCGGTGGGGCTACGATTTTGGATCGTAGCTAGATTGTAGGTAGGCTGCGCATCGAAAAATCGTATACAGGGCTCGATGCCCGATTTCCGATCGTAGCCTGGCCACGATCCAAATTGGGCCCGACCCTGCTGCTAGCTATGTTTATAGTCACTCCGAGGCAGGCAGGCAGGCAGTCAGAGAGCCTGCGTGCGTGGGCACACCTGCCAGGCAAAAGATCTATATGAGCACATACGCAGGACAGGCAGACTTTGTGCTTGAGCATGCATGCAGGCCTGACGGTGCAATTTTCAAGTTTTTGCAAGCTTGCACCAGCAATTCTCTGCCTGCCTGCCTGCCTGTCAGCCAAGCTTGCCAGCCAGCCAGCTGGCTTTGAATACTTGCTGCAGCAGGCAGGGTAAAAACAGAGCACAATCAAACAACAGAATCATTGGAGATTCGCTCTCCAGTGGTTCCAATCATAGCTAGCAGCAAAATGAACTCACAATTTTTCCCATGCACAGGCTGTGCAATTCAGGATCTGAGAATCGTTATACAAGTCATAGCTAGCAGCAAAAGTAATTCGCGATTTTTCCTATTGCACAGGCTGTGCGATCCAGGATGTGAGAGTTGTTATACACATAGCTAGCGTCAAAGGTAGCTACGATTTGGGCCGTAGGGGTCCTTTGGCCCTGGGCTCGGCTTTCAGGAGTGTCCTTCGGCCTTTTTGGGCCGCCAGGGTCCTTCGGCCGGAATTTGGAGGACTCCTGCGGCCCAACAAGGCCGGAGGGCCCCTACGGCCGGGAATCGGAGGTCTCCTGCGACTTTTTTGGGCCGCACAGGCCTTGCGCACGCAAAACGGCAGGGTCTCGCGCTGTTTTGGGCCGCAGCACTGGTACGGCCAAAAGTACGACTTTTCTGCTTATGTCAGCACAGGAGGCCAGGCATGCGCGCGCTGGCCCGCCACCCGGCCCTTTGCCACCCGGCCCTTCTGCAAAATCCATCCGCCAGCCACCCGTCTCTCCTGCCCTCCTACCACCACCATCCGACGCCAGCCGCCACCACTTGCCAGGTCACCAGCACCAGCCAGCCAGCCACTAGTCAGCTGCCAGCTGCTTGCCCGGCCCAGCCGTCAGTCCAGCACAGCCGCCTGGCCCTGTCAGTCACCCAACCAGCCACCAGCCGCCACCCGAGCCAGCCGCCAGCCACTCGCAGCCGCCAGCCACTCGCCCAGCCTTGCCAGCAGCCGCCCGGTCCAGCCACCTGCCAGCGCAGCCAGCCAAGCGCAGCCAGCCAGCCGCCTGCCGCCCAGCCCAGCCAGCCGCCAGCCAGCCGCCTGTCTAGCGCAGCCGCTTGCCACTCACCAGCCGCTAGTGGGGCCCCACCAGCCAGCCAGCCGTCAGTCAGCTGTCAGTGCAGCCAGCAGCCAGCCAGCCAGCCGCCGAGCCAGCCACCGTCTCGCCGCTGCTTCCCCCTTCCTGCCTTGCTGCCGCTTCTGCCCCGCCGCTGCTTCCACCAGCTGACACTGTCAATCATCGGAAACTTTGGAGAGGGCCTCTCCAAAGTCTCCAATGATTCTGACCATTGACGGCCTTGCTTCTGCTCCGCTTCATGTGAGTCGACTGTTGGCGCTCTTCTTCTGCTGCTCCGCTGCGCGCCATTGCTGACTCCTTTGCTCCCCTCTCCCTTTTGCCTGCTCCTCCCTCACCGCCTTACTTTGCTGCCGCCCTGCTGCCGCCCTGCTGCCGCCCTGCTGCCACCTTGCTCTACCGCCGTTGCTGCTGCCTTTGTAGGTACCATATTGCAATTGAATTGTAGCTAGAATACAGGTGTGGGTGTGTGTTATGCCTGCGGTGTGGGAGCGATGCAGTCCTACGGCCTTGGTGCGTAGAGGTCCTGCGGCCCTGCGGAGCGTAGGGGTCCTACGGCCCAAAGGCCAAAGTGGTAGACCGGCTAGCTACGGCCCTGGGGGTACGAAGGAGATCTCCGACTCCCAAGGCCGTAGCTAAATCTCTGCCGCCAGCTATGACTTTGCCAAATCCATCTGCCGCCCGCCCATCTCTCCTGCCCTCCTACCACCACCAGCCAACACCAGCCGCCCGCTAGCCGCCAGTCGCCGACCCTGCCAGCGGCAAGGCCCTGCCAGCACCTGCCAGCTGCCTGCCAGCACCCGCCACCCGCCAGCCAGCCAGCCAGCCAGCCGTCAGTCCAGCGCAGCCACCCGCCCGGCCCAGCCAGCCGCGCTGCCACCCGAGCCAGCCAGCCGCCAGCTCTGCCTCATAGCTAGCAGCAGGATCTGGTCAAAAAAAATCGCACATGTATAACGATCTGAAAATCCAGCTGCAGCCAGCTTGTGCAATTTCTCAGAAGCGCACCAGGTGTGCGATCAGCTGCGATCTGAGATCCTGAATTTTTCCTGCCTGCGATCTGAAATCCACTCATAGTGGCCAGGATTTTAGATCGCACTTGTATAACAACTCTCAAATCCTGGATCGCACAGCCTGTGCGACAAGAAAAATCAGGAATATCTTTTGCTGCTAGCTATGCCTGCCGCCCAGCCCAGTTGCCTGGCCCTGCCCCCTCAGGTCAGCCAGCTGCCAGCCGTCACCCAAGCAGCCAGCCAGCCAAGCGCAGCCACCAGCCAAGTGCAGCCGCCAGCCAAGTGCAGCTGCCAGCCAAGCGGGCCGCCAGCTGCCAGCGAGACCCAGTGAGGCCCAGCCAGCCCAGCCAGCCAGCCAGCCAGCCAGCCAGCCAGCCAGCCAGCCAGCCCAGCCAGTCACCCAGTGAGTTGCCAGCCGCCGCTGCTTCCGCTCTGCCGTTGCTTCCGCCCTGCTGCCGCCGTCAATCATCGGAGACTTTGGA